GTTGATTGTGGTGATGGTTGCGTAAATCTGTGAATAAACTGAAAACCACTGAATTGTTTTAAAAAAATCATTGTAACATTTTTCAACCTGACTTTTCTAAGAGTCTGTCTCTTTGTATGACATTCTAAGTCGATCTTCTAAACCACCCAGCCTCTAGCAGTGTTCTGAAATGGAGCACAGCGGGTGGTCTCTCCTTTGAACAAGGTAAAATACTCCATCTGGAGCAAAGAAAATTTTACAGCTGATCAAATTGTAGTTTAATCATATACTTTAAAAAACCTTCTGTCAGGCCCATAAAGCAAACGATAATACATGTAGCTCAACCATGTATACAAGACTAAATGGGCACACCAGCCCAGGGGCAAGGATGAGAAGGCAGGAGGGGACAGGAAAGCTGGACGAAAGGAAATGGGGAACTCAAGGTCGAGAAGGGGAGAGTGTTGACATGTCATGGGGTTGGCAACCAACATCACAAAACAATATGTGTGTTAACTGTTTAATGAGAAACGAATTTACTCTGTAAATCTTCACCTAAAGCACAATAAAAATAATTATAAAAAAATTTTTTATAAAGAATAATATTCCTAACCAAGAAAACAAAATTTCTGTCAAACAACTTGGTGATAGATTTCAAAAGCCATAAAATGTCTATATTCCACTTCCATGGTTTTACATTATGTAAAAATTCTTATGGTAAAATATTTTGTGAAAAAGATGTGCTACAAATTCCATATTACTATGTGTGCAATTATATAAAAATATCAATTCATAGACAAAAGGCCTAGAAAGAAATATGCAAAACTGACAGCAGCAATTCTGTAAAGGTGTCAGAATTCTTGGTAATTTTTCAAACCTTGCTGTAAAGTTGTTTTTTGTTTGTTTTTTTAACAGTGGGAAGAAAAAAATTTCAATAAAAATAGGAAAGGGCTGCTTCTACATCATTTGTCAACAAGAAGCGGTTCTTTAAATTAGACTCATCCCATGCAGTTTATAGTCCTAGAAAATGTTTTACTTTCTTTATTCATTCCATAGACATGATTTAAAATAATAGTTGTATCAGCTCTTCTTGTCACCATGCCTCAAGTTCCCCCAAACAGGATCCAGGGAGACCCCGTCTGGAGACAAGAGAGAAGTTCAGCTTAGTCCAGACCTCGAGCTGCGCCCAAACGATCTCAATAGAGGACGACTCCTTTCCAAACACCTTAGCACCTCTCTTTGTGTCTGGTTTAGACTAACCAGTCACCAGAGGCAACATCAATCAGTTACTCTGTGAAATGACGGGGAAGATTCTCATTAGAATCCTCAGAAAAACAGAAAGCTAATTTCTTGGATCAAATCCACCTGGCCCAATTTATCTTGGTTAAAAACAAACAAGGAAAAACTGTTGCAAAATGAGTCTTCAGTGAAGTGCTGAAAACAGTGAGCACTATAAGCTTTGGGAGAGCCAACCTCATTTATTTATTAATATGAGATATAGCCAGACTTCCTAATTTAACAGTGTATCTCAGCAGCACTTTGTTGCAGACACGGACTCTGTGTTTTAAATACGTTGTTGTTGTTGTTAGGTATCCTCGAGTTGATTCTGACTCAGTGACCGCATGTGCAACGGAAGGAAACACTGCCCGGTCCTGCACCATCCTCACAATCCTTGTTATGCTTGAGCCCATTGTTGCAGCTACTGTGTCAATTTCATTGAGAGTCTTCCTCTTTTTCGCTGACCCTCTACTTTACTGAGTATGATGTCCTTCTCCAGGGACTGGTCCCTCCTGACAACATGTCCAAAGTATGTGAGACATAGTCTCGTCATCCTTGCTTCTAACAAGCATTCTGGTTGCACTTCTTCCAAGACAGATTTGTTGGTTCCTTGGGCAATCTATGGGATATTCAACATTCTTCACCAACTCTCAGTTCAAAGGCGGCAATTCTTCTCCCTTCTCCCGTCTTCTATATTCATTGTCCAGCTTTCACATGCATATAAGGTGACTGAAAACACCAAGGCTTGGGTCAGGCGCACCTTAGTCTTCAAAGTGACATCGTTGCTTTTTAACACTTTAAAGAGGTCTTTTGCAGCAGATTTGCCCAATGCAATGGGCAAATCGTATAGACCATACAAACTACAACGAAAATAATGTGTACACAGAGCATATTACTCTGGTGGCACTGTGGTTAAGAGCTCAAAATGTTAGCAGTTCGAATCCACCATCTGCTCCTTGGAAATGTTATGGGGCAGTCCTACTCTGTCCTATAGGGTCCCTATGAGTCAGAATCGACTTGATGACAATGGGTTTGGTTTTTCTTGTTTTGGAGACCTGGTGGCACAGTGGTCAAGCGTTTGGCTATTAACGAAAAGGCTGGCAGTTCAAATCTACCAGCTGCTCCTTGGAAACCCTGTGGAGCAGTTCTACTCTGTCCTGTAGGGTCACTATGAGTTGGAATTGACTCAACGGCAATGAGGTTTTTTTTCCCTTTTTTTAATATAGTGTTAACACCCACAGTTACCATTGCTGTCAACACGAGCAGTAGGGATTTCAAAGACAAGATATGAATCACTCTCATATCATTACCCTATCTTATTTTTTAATGCAGTACACAAAAATATAAACTTACAGAACATATACTTCAGTGGGTGAGTCTTGTGTTACCCCATCCCCCACAATTAAAGGCACGTATGGGGTTACTGTAAATAACAACATCCGCCATTACCTTCAAACTGAGGAGCTTACAGGTAAATACATAATTATCCGGTTTTCTGTGACACCACCACAGTTGATCACACACACACACACACACACACCCACACTGGAAGATACACTTGACTACACATCATCCAAGCCCTCTTTTGACTTCAGTAGTGGTCACATTTATTAATGGGCTTCGATTCCTTTGGGGTCCCTGGGTGTGAATGGTTACTACACTTGGCTACTAACCAAAAGGTTGGAGGTTTGCGTCCATCCAGGGGCACCTCAGAAAAAAGCCCTGGTGATCTACTTCCAAAAAGAACAGCACTGAAAACCTTATGGAACACAGTTCTACTCTGACTCACAAGAGGCTGTCGTAAGTTGGAACTGACTCCACGGCAACTGGTTTTCAATTCCTTTATGAAACTTTTTTTTAGGACTGAGATCGTGTGTAAATGTACAATCTAAGTATGCCAACCGATTTATCAAAACTCTTAGACCAAAAAGAAAGTCTCAGATTTATGAGGGAAAGGTTGTGTTTCTAATCTCCTAATGAGCATCTTTTAATTCCTAGAACCAAAGTCCAGGTCTAATTTTTATGTGTTAAGCACAAGAAAGCAAGAGGTAGGGAAGGCTTGGAAAGTGGTGAGGTCTTACTGCAAGTGCAGAAGCCTGGTCCCAGTGCCCAAGCTGCCTTCCACCATGTCATCCTGTCCATCCACCATTCCAGAGAGCCTCAAAAGAGTCCTGGGAATTTCACAAACTTCTCAAAACAAAATATGCTCCATTTGCTTTCACTTAAGAATTCAGTAATAAATCTGTAT